TAAAGAAGGGTCTAGGCCCGAAACGTCAGCTTTCCTGCTCCTCCGATGCTGCTTGGCCTGCTGTGTTCATCCAGCTCTACACCTTGTTATCTCTGTGTACTGTGCAGGTAGGGTTTAGCAGAGGTCTGCGAATATGGGCAATTTCCCCTTATTAATTAGCGTCTTAAAAGATAGTCATCTATCCCACTGAAGGTGGGAGGAAGCAGTACTTTTGCTCCTGTTTGTTAGTCTGTTTGCCTGTAAACAATAAATCTCAAAATCCATTGGTTAAAATTCAACAAAACGTTGGACACAGATGGACTGTGACCCAAGGAAGAAATGATTAGATTACAGCAAAGGTCCAGATCCTGAATTTTGTTTTAACAGACTCATTATTGTTGGGAGACAAAGTGAATTAGCTTTTCCTCAAACAATGTTGTAGGTTGTTTTGTTTTCAATGTTCTTGACTGTTTTCAAATATTGTGGATTGTCATAGCTGCTGTCGTGGAATTTGTCGCAGCTGTGAAAATGTGAGAAGGGTTTTCAGAGCAGATTGTTGGATGTGAATTGGCCTAGAGTGCATTGGAAATTTTTAATGAAAATGTTTATTTTGTTCAGATTTGTGGTGTTAGATGTAGTAACTTGTGTTTTTAATCTGTGACATGCTCGCATAGAATATGTCTGGTCAGATGGGTGTTCATAAAATAAGTGTACCCAAATGACAAACAATGCACCATTGTTAATCGTGGCCAACTGTAATGTGTAACTGTATTGGAGGTAAATCCGATTATCAACACGTCCTGCCTTTAAGAGGATTCACCTTTAAGGACACCAATGGCTTTGTGAGTAGCAGTTACTTGTGAACAAGCTAGCTAGTTTAGTCTGCTTGGGTTTGCAAGTTGTACACACAGGAATCAACTGGTTTGCTCTCTTCTTTTCTTCATAACCGAAAGCATGTTTTCATGTTTTAAATGAACTGACGCATGGAGTTGATCAATCCCTCATGAGCAACTGGTTATTAGACCATTATCATTGGCATGACAACACTTATGTCAATACATGTCTGAAGGACATGTTTGAGAGCAATTTCTGTCCATCTAACTGAAGACATGTCCATTGAAGAATACATCCAACTTATACATCCCTGACATTTTAAAGAAAATGAAACAGATCTTTGAATAGAACACAAATTGTGTGAAAATATTTCTGCAGATTTCTTTCTTCTCTGCTGTTCAGGCAATAAAACCTCTGTCAAATGGTTTCAGTTATAAAGAAAGGCTGGATAAGCCGGGACTTTCTTCACTGGTACATAGGAGGCTGAGCGGTGACCCTATAGAGGTTTATAAAATCATGAGGGGTGTAAGCGATGGCCTAGTGGTATTATCGCTGGACTGTTAATCCAGAGACCAGATAACATTCTGGGGACCCAGGTTCAAATCCTGCCACAGCAGATGATGGAATTTGAATTCAATGAAATATCTGGAATTAAGAATCTAATGATGATCATGAATCCATTGCCAATTGTTGGAAAAACCCATCTGGTTCATTAATGCCCTTGAGGGAAAGAATCTACCATCTTTCCCTGGTCTGGCCTACATGTGACTCCAGACCCACAGCAATGTGGTTGACTCTTAACTGCCCTCTGGGCAATAAATGCTGTCTAGCCAGCAATGCCCTCATCCCATAAAGGAAATAAAAAGGTAGGGTTAATGGTAGTTGTCTTTTCCCGAGGATGGGGGATTTCAAGATTAGGCAGCATATTTTTAAGCTGAGAGGAGAGCAATTTAAATAAGACACGAGGGACAATTTTTATTTACACGGGGGGAGGTTCATGTGTGGAATGAACTTCCTGAGGAAGTGGTGGCTATGGGCACAGTTACAGTTTAAAAGTACACAAATAGGAAAGGTTTGAAGGGATATGGGCCAGGAGAAGGCAGGTGGGGCTATTTTAGTTTGAGATTATGTTTGGCCTGGACTGGTTGGACTGAATGGTCTGTTTCTGTGTGTATGACTCTATGACTCTAAGTTAATTTTAAAGCTTTTAAAAGGCTACAGGAGATTCACCAGTGCTGATCCAGATTTATGATTTAAGCTTCATACTGTGGAGAGTCAACTAAGATACCTAAGCTTGGGTTGTACAAGGATAGAAGATCTTCCTCTTTCTGTTGTTTTACCTTCAGATTCCTTCTAATGCATTTTACTTTTCTCGAAGTGCTGCCACCTCAGGACCTTTAGGACTGACAGTACAAGGTAGTAGGTAAACCTGCTGGCCTCAACATTGACAGAAATGGAGCCCATGTCTCTGTGATATATTTCCAGCATAAACCCTGAGGCCAAATCTGCCCCTGCATCCTCACTTTGCTTTGATTTTTGCGCGTGACTCCCGACCTACTTTCCATCTCGACCTGAATAGAGCTGCTGGCCAATCGCAGGGCAGCAGGTCTGTAATTTGGGCAGTGCCACACAAGGAATGGTAGTCAGTATGGGTACTGTAGGAATGCCAAGGATATAGCAAATAGCCATGGTTCCAGATACCTAGGAAAGTGTGGGAATCTTGCCGGGTTTAGGAGGACCATTGAGGATGGGCATGGTGGTGTATTTTGGACAGGCAAAATCACAGGGTGGGTTGTGGGGAAGGAAAACCAATATGGTGGCAGAGGGAGGGGGAATCCTCCAGTTGGCACCAGGTGCCCAGCAAGTGGCACACCTCCCCTCTTTTAGTGGGCAGCTACCCAGAGTGGTGGCAGAGTCTGATCCTTCACTGGGAATTAAAGCAGTTCTCACATGCGCCACCACCCCCACCATCACCCCACACCGAAGCCTCCCCTGCCGCTCAAAATCGTAGTGGGGTGGGTGGCAGTAGTGAGCACATTGCTCATGGCACGGTTCCCTAATTTAAAGACCCACTTGCCAGCCTTCTCACCCACATTAACTGGGTCAGTCAAGGGTCGCCTTAAAAAGTGCCCTGAAATTTGGAGTAACGTTGCCATGGACAGAGGCCTCATCATGGGCTGGATTGAAGAACAGTTTTAAGTCATTGAGAAGAAGGAAGATTGTGATATGCTGCAGCCAACATAAGTAGATGAGACAGTGTATTTAAACAGCCAGGTTAAGCCTGCGAGACCTTAGGGTAAATATTAATTCTGGATGTAATGATATGGAAACTCCAGCAGGTGGTGCTAACTTCACAATAGATTTTCTTTTACTCAAACTGTCAAATATAATTTTGCCAAATTGACCATGACATACAGAATTCAATGATAAGCTTAAGAATTTGACATTTTACCTTCCGTGTGTTAAATGGAGTGTGAATAAAACATCTTTTTAGTCATAAATCACTTAGTGATGATTCTGTTGCTAACTACATGAGACAGAAGGAAGAAATGAAAGGGACTCAGTTATAACAACCCCAACTTCAATGAGGCACTGAGTCAGGGAACTGAACCAATTGGTGCTTTTTGAGTGGTGCTGATGGAGTCCACTGATG